TAACGTGCGCTTCCCTCGCTTTGATTCATTAAGTGACCGAGTCCCTGCTGTGACCGGTGGCTCGCTAAATGCTAGCTCTGTCTCTTTGTGATCCTTGGGGACGCGTCGGCGTTGCTCAGAACTCCCACGGAAAAGCTGCCACAATAAAAGCGTGGAGAGTCTCGCTGACTTCCTCGCAGTGCTGGAGAGCACTGAAAAGCTGGCAGGGATCAGAGGCGACGGCTTTTATTGGAGTCTGAACAGCTCGGAAGCTGTGAAATAAAGAGAACCGAGTCTGGCTGCCCGACTTGGCTACCGCTCCTCTCTGTGCCCTGGTGTGAAAGAGAACCTGAAATGTATGCAGTCGCTCTCTGCCTCCTGCAGTATCTCGGCCTCCCTCTGAGCTCTGCAGCTTCCCGTAAGCGGGTTCAGGGCTGGTCAGTGAGACCTGTAGGGGGAACACGGGGGGCAGCTGCAGGAGGTGCCAGTCAGGCCGCAGCCTTCCCTCTGGGCTGGTACTGGACGTATTCCTGCAGTGTGGCAGTAGGGGGTGCCGTCTTTCAGATGAGACTTAACCCCCAGCCCTCGTATCACAGGATTGTCTTCCATGTGGGGCTCACAGCTGCCACGTCCCCTGCTGCCCCCTGCTCACGATTTAGCTAGCTAGAAGCTTAAAGCTGGAGCAAACGGCCGGCCCTGCCAAGTCTCCCCTCCCTCCTGCGTGTCTAAGTGGCTTTGCTCTCCCTTGGGACGGCCGGGTAAGTTTCTGGATGATAAGGAAACCGCAGTGCTATATCCTTCCTTTCACGCAGCCGGGGCAATGTGACTGTTCAAGCCGGAGGCATTGGGCAGAGCTGTCTCCCTTTGGTGTCGCTAGCTGTCTGCTGGTCCTTGCTCCCCACATGCTTTCAGCCTGGGCAGGTGCACCGGAGGGCCCTGTTTCTTGCCACAATATTCTGAATTGGAAGAAGACCAGCTGCAGCAAAACTCCAAGGGATCGGGAAGCCGGCGCGCCATGCACGCCCTCTGCGTTGGTGTTAGCAGGAATTCACACCTTTCCGTAGACTTGCTAGAAAACGACACGGCACTTGGGGAGGGCGGGAAGATTTTTGCTGATGGTTTCCACCTCTGGCTTACGGTTTAGCAAGTTGCTGCAACTGGTTTGGCTTAACGAATGCAGCATGTTCAGTTAACGACGGTTGCTGTCTGGAAACGGCGTCACATGTCATGAATCAGAGGCATTGCACCTTTAGCTCCATGGTGTGGCTGTGATCACAACTTGCTGTCTTGGAAATGAGCTACAATTGTCAAAGGGGTTTTGCCCTGGTAACCTTGCCTCACCTTGCACAGACGCAGTTGGGGGCTCCTGCAGGAGCCTGGGACCACCTGGGTTCTCTTCCAGTGACCTCCCCAGAACCTTAGGCAAGTAGCTCTGCCTCTAATGAGATATATACTGTAGATAGATAATAAGACAGAAAATATCATATTGCCTCCATAAAAATCCATGGTATGCCCAGATCTTGGGTACTGCCTGCAGATCTGGTCGCCCCATCTCAAAAAGGATATATTGGAATTGGAAAAGTTACAGAGAAAGGCAACACATATGATTAGGGGAATGGAACAGCTTCTGTGTGAGGGGAGATTAAAAAGACTGGGACTGTTCAGATTGGAAAAGAGAGGACTAAGGGGGGATATGATCGAGGTCTATAAAATTATGACTGATGTGGAGAAAGTGAATAAGGAAATGTTATTTACTCCGTCACATAACACACAAACCAGGCTCGCCCAATAAAACTAATAGGCAGCAGGTTTAAAACAAATAAAAGGAAGTATTTCTTCACACAAGGCACAGTCAACCTGTGGAACTCCTTGCCAGAGGATGGTGTGAAGGCCAAAAATATAACAGGGTTAAAAAAAAAATTAAATAAGTTCCTGGAGGGTAGGTCCATCAATGGCTATTAGCCAGGATGGACAGGGATGGTGTCCCTAGCCTCTGTTTGCCAGAAGCTGGGAATGGGAAATGGGATGGATCACTTGAAATTGCCCTGTTCTGTTCATTCCCTCTGGGGCACCTGTCATTGGCCACTGTCGGAGGACAGGATACTGGGCTAGATGGACCTTTCGTCTGACCCAGTCTGGCCGTTGTTATGGTCTTCTGTAATTCTCTTTTGCCCCCGTTTGAAATCGGTTATCAGTGTTATCCGTGACCCATCTCCATAGTGTCTGTGTGCCTCCCGAGCAGTTAAAAATAGACCTCACCCTAACTCTGTCTCTTCCTTCCCTGCCTGTAGAAGCAGTTTGGTTGGTTCCAGGGTCTCCTGTCTGGGGTGCGCGGGTGGGTGGCGTATGGAAAACACTTGCAGGGACAGTTAACTCTAAGAAGCGGGTGAGGTTTTTAGTCAGGGAGGTCTCTTGCAAGAGCGAATGAAAGCACTGAAATTGTCCAGTCCCTGGGACCATTCTTTCTGCTGCCTTTCTCCCCGCCCCCCCGCTGGCGTTGTCATTGTTCCTGTAGTTCAGAGCTGTCCTAGGAGATTGTAGTGGTAGAGGGTGTGCCGATCTCTCTGGGAACCGGCCCAAATGCATGGGAGGATAGCAAGACCTTGAACTGGAATCTATGGTGGGTGAACCTGGCAAAGCGGTAAATGCAGTTCACTGGAGGAGTGACTCCCGCTAGGTTGCTGTCTGAAGCATGAAAGCTCTAACTCTCCTCAGCTTAGATAGGTCCAAAGGTTAGTAATAAATGCATTGCATCTTCTAAAAACCCAGACCTGGGATCAGGCTTCATGACATCATGGAGCAGGGAGTTCCGCAGGCTGCCCGCTCCCTCAAGTGTTTCCTCTTGGATTTTTTTGGCTTTAATTTGGTCCTAGGTGGGGCAGATTAGTACAGTAGGAAAACAAGAACTAGCCAAAACAAGACTGAAATATTGGCCCTAAATGTCCAATGCATTCCATAGGACTCTGTGCTGGATGCAGAATGCAAATAGAGGCTCTGGTACCACAAGGACGGCTGGAAGTCCCACTTCTTCTTTTTAATTACGTTTATTACCTCGGTTATCTAAACTGAAGTGCTCGGATTGCAAGGTGTAATAAAACACAAAGGATCCCCTCATTCTAGAATTCATTGCATTGTTAAACGTGAAGTGTTTGTGCGTCTTGCATAAAAAAATCTGGGGGAGCAGGGATACATCGGTTTATTCCTATGCCGCCTCTTCCGGAAATGGCTGCACCAAGCCTTTCAGACGCTGTATTTATGATGCAGATAGAATGAGTAACTGATCTGTTACCCAGCTGCGCGGCATCTTCCGATTTCTGAACTACGTGGGCCACCGTTTGCCTATGGGAGAACGTAGCGATGTAGATCTTTGTGCGTTTGGATTTAATGAGGATAGCAGGCTTCTGGGGTTTGGTAAGGTGTGATTTCTATTTGAATGTTTTTCCCATAGGCTGTGCATGTTTATTAAATTTAGCAGATTAATACCGTTGAAAGAGGAGAACCTATCAGAACAGAATCCCTAGCCAGAGGGAGTGATGTGTAGTGGCTAGTGCAGGGGACGCTCAGAGCTATACTTACTTCTATACTTACCCCTGCCACTGACTCATTCTGTGTCTTGGAGTAAATTGTGTCCCCTCTCTTTGCCTCAGTTTCCTCATCTATCAGTAGGGGATAATACTTCTCAGAAACAAACTAGGGAAATGCAACCTAGATGGAGCTACTACAAGGTGGGTGCAGAATTGGTTGGAAAACTGTTCCCAGAGAGTAGTTATCAGTGGTTCAGTGTCATGCTGGAAGGGCATAACGAGTGGGGGCCCGTAGGGATCGGTTCTGGGTCTAGTTCTGTTCAATATTTTTATCAATGATTTAGATAATGGCATACAGAGTACATTTATAAAGTTTGCCGCCGATACCAAGCTGGGGAGGGATTGCAAGCACTTTGGAGGATAGGAATAAAATTCAAAACGATCTGGAGAAATGGTCTGAAGTAAATAGGATGAAATTCAATCAGGACAAATGCAAAGTACTCCACTTAGGAAGGAACAATCCGTTGTACACATACAAAATGGGCAATGACTGCCTAGGAAGGAGAACTGCGGAAAGGGATCTGGGGGTCAGAGTGGATCACAAGCTAAATATGAGTCAACAGTGTAACACTGTTGCAAAAAAAAAAAAGAACATTCTGGGATGTATTAGCAGGAGTGTTGTAAGCAAGACACAAATAATTCTTCCGCTCTACTCCACGCTGATTAGGCCTCAACTGGAGTATTGTGTCCAGTTCTGGGCGCCACATGTCAGGAAAGATGTGGGCAAATTGGAGAAAGCCCAGAGAAGAGAAACACAAATGATGAAAGCAGCAAAGACGTGGAGCATGACTAACAGACGTACAGGAGACTCCTATACGTCTGTTAGTCTATAAGGTGCCACAGGACTCTTTGCTGCTTTTACAGATCCAGACTAACACGGCTACCCCTCTGATACAAATGATGAAAGGTCTAGAAAACATGACCTATGAGGGAAGATTGAAAAAATTGGGTTTGTTTAGACTGGAGAAGAGAAGACTGAGAGGGGACATGAGAACTGTTTTCAAGTACATAAAAGGTTGTTACAAGGATGCGGGAGAAAAATTGTTCTCCTTAACCTCTTAGGACAGGACAAGAAGCAATGGGCTTAAATTGCATCAAGGGCAGTTTAGGTTGGACATTAGGAAAAACTTCCCAACTGTCAGGGTGGTTAAGCACTGGAATAAATTGCCTAGGGAGGTTGCGGAATCTCCATCATTAGGGTTTTTTAAGAGCAGGTCGGACAAACACCTGTCAGGGATGGTCTAGATAATACTTAGTCCTGCCTTGAGTGCAGGGGACTGGACTAGATGACCTCTCGAGGTCCCTTCCAGTCCTGTGATTCTATGAGTCCCTGTCTCATGGGGCTGTTGTGGAGCTTAATGTTTGGGGAAGTGCTTTGAGATCCTCAGATGAAAGGATTGGCATGTTCCGCTCCTCAGCTTCCACTCTGTATTTCAGGAGCACGATCGTGGTTTGCCGTGAGACACACAGGAGCCGGTGGGGCTATCTCCAGTGAGCTTGGCTCCCGTCCACTGGCAAAGAGTTTGTTGGCAGACCAACGACCTTGGTCACCCGGGAAGATGAGAAGACGTATGGCCTGGTACCTGTTGGTCCTGTTGGCGGCCGTGACAACGGGCTACCCCTCTCGACGATCCGCCGTGGACTTGGACGCAACCCCAAGGACGACAATTGCCTATAAGGGTAAGGAAGCTTGGTTTTACCCCTGCCCCAGAGGGAGCAGCCGGACACTGTGCGTCATTGGTGCATGTTGCCTGCATGGCCGGGCGGATGTGAAGGCCGCCTGGCTACGGGGAGTGGAAGGTCCTGGGCAGAGGTCCTTAGATCTGTGCTTAGCTCCTGCAGTGAGCACTGTGCAAAGCCCCAGGATGCACAAGAAATGGGGTCTGGTGTGTAACAGCCAGTGCTCTGAGCTCGCGGTGTGCCCCCTCCTCCTCTCTCCGATGGCTCCCTGGGGATGAGGCCGATGATTTCCCCCTCGCCTCTGGTCCCCTTGTGTTTCGGCTGTGAGAGACGGATGGGGCGTGGGGGAAGGAGGGAACCTGCTCGGAGAGCCATCAGCCTGCCCTGCATGCTGTCTGGGAGCTGCTGCCGATTGCTACGTGCCAGATCGGAGCCGTCAGCACGACAGCATCTGCATGTCCGATGACATCAGCGTCTCCGCTTTCCCAGGCTCCTGCGGCACAAGGACATATGGCCGCAGCTCCTCGAGCACGGTGAGGCCTCCTGTTCCTGGCTGCCTGTGCTCAGCCCCCGGATGCTAGAGCTTCCCAGAGCAATTGCATTAGACTGACCTTCCCTGTGACATCCCTACCTGCTTCCTTCCCGGGGGCTTGAAGGGAGGATTTTGTCCCCTCTGCAGAGGGGGGCCAGCCTGGGGTCCACACACCACCCCACATAAACCCCAATTCAGCTCATAAGGTGGTGCCTAAGCCTTGTCCTGGCCCCTCTGCCTAGGGGTGAATTCCGCCTGTGGTGGGCTGGAGGGTGGTCAGATAGGTTGTTCCAGGCCTGCCATGCCATGGCTTTCTTGGCGGGACTGGTTTATCCAGCCTCCTGCGTCATCTTCCCCGGCCCATGGACTGACTCCTGGTTGCACTGTCGGAAAGGAGTGGGAGTCTTGCAATTGTCTTTGATGGACAGAAGGAAGCTTGGCCTTTGCCCTGCGGGCTGGCTTGGTGACATCTCACCTGAGATGCCGCTAAATACTTCAAGACAGTTTGGAAGTGAAGCCGAGGCAAGAGCCTCTACCTGACAGGGATGATGAGAGGGCCGATTAATTAACTAACGGTTGCACAGTGTTCGCTTAAAGGCTGATGGAGCAAGGAGAATTCAGTTCTCATGGAAAAATGAAACCTTCATGTAACTGCAGCAATTTCTTTGCAACGGCAAAAGTGTTGGCTGAAATATCCCAGCAGAATGCTCAGGAGAAGCCGAGAACTTGGTTAAAAGTTCACATTTGAGATGAGTAGATGACCCATGAGCGCTGTGAGGGCTAGCAGGTTTAGCTTGGGGCTCGGAGCCAGGAGGTTGGTCCCAGCTTCTTCACACATCTACCGCTGAGGGCATGACTGCTTTGAAAACCAGAGAGCTCTTTATAAACCCTTAGCCACGAAGCAGTTCGGTGTCATTGTTCCATTTTACATAAGAACGGCCATACTGGGTCAGACCAAAGGTCCATCTAGCCCAGTATCCTGTCTACCGACAGTGGCCAGTGCCAGGTGCCCCAGAGGGAATGAACAGAACAGGTCATCATCCAGTGATCCATCCCTGGATGGCTAATAGCCATTGATGGACCCATCCTCCATGAACTTAGCTCGTTCTTTTTTTAACCCAGTTATAGTTTTGGCCTCACAACATCCCTTGGCAATGAGTTCCACAGGTTGACTGGACATTGTGTGAAGAAATACTTTGTTTGTTTGTTTTAAACTTGTTGCCTGTTAGTTTTATTGGGTGATACCTCGTTTGTGTGTGTTATGTGAAGGGGTAAATAACACTTCCTTATTTACTTTCTCCACACCAGTCATGATTTTATAGACCTCTATCATATCCCCCCTGAATCGTCTCTTTTCCAATCTGAACAGTCCCAGTCTTTTTAATCTTCCCTCACACAGAAGCTGTTCCATTCCCCTAATCATATGTGTTGCCTTTCTCTGTAACTTTTCCAATTCCAATATATCCTTTTTGAGATGGGGCGCACAGGAGCCACGCAGGGGTCGGGGAGGAAAGTGGTGGTTCGTTCCCACACCATGAGACTGCACCTAGATCTTCCTGCCCCGGCCATTCGCCTCCTCCCCTGCATGCTCTACCCAGCAGCAAAACAGAGACAAACAACAGTAACACTGACACTTCGGCGCTGTGTGCTGACACCTCGTCTCACTGTACCAGCCGGTGCTGCATGCTCCAGCTGGCGTCCCTGCTTCCGTTCCCATTTTTGAAGGCTTTTTTGTGTGTGTGACCTGAGCGCTGGAGACAAGACGTTAACTTCCAAAATAAAAGACTGGTGAACCGCTGAGGACGGAGCCAGTCCAGTCCCTAGATGTGTGTGTGTGATTCCTCCCACACACACCCTGTGTGCGCCTTTGCATGCACACACACGGGTGGGGGAAGAGACTAAGGGAGGTGCTAAAATATTCTTCACACTTCTTCAGAACATTCAGCGTCTTAAGATGCAAATCTGCAAACCACGGGTGTGTGTCCCTGTGTCAATCGACGGCCTGAGAATAGCGGTGCTTGTACAGAACATGTATCTGCAGAATATAAACAGCTGGAGATCACACACTCCCCAGAGACTGCTTGTGTTGGGGTGTTTTGATCTCCCTGTCTCTGCCCTCTCTTTCTGACAGCTGCAGGGGCCACACGGAGAGGGGAACAGTGCGGGGCAGGGCTGAAGCCACCTCATCTTACATGATTTGGTTCCATCCCTGGTGATCTTTGGAATCCCAGAACCACTCCCCGAATCGGAGCACCATGGCTCCACACTGGCTTGGTGGCGTTTCATGGCGGGATCCTGGTGGGCAGCTTTGTACCGGGACGGCTCCTTACCCCCATACAGGGACCTGGCTAGATGTTGGAATAGCCCATTACTGTGGATTTGTGCATTCATGGCCTCTTGGCCACCCAGGCATCTTCACACCGTCTGGAATCTGCATAATCTCTCTTGAAACAGAAGTCCTGGGGATCGGGGACGTGGTCACTGGGGAGGAGAGAAATCCAGACCCGTATTGGTCCGTCTGGGGTTTTTCTCCGTAGTGCGTGTGGAGTGAGTACTTCCTTCCGTGCCCTCTGGGTGCGGGGAACCCGAGATCAGGGCAGAGGCGTGGCTCCTGAAGGAGCTGGGTCGTCAGGCAGGAGCACGGGGACCATTCCAGGAGCACTGTGGGTGCGGCCCACAGCACAGCGAGATGCACCGTGCGTCACGAGGGAGCTGAGCCTGCTCTCTAGGCTCGGGAACGGTGTAACGAGGGCCTTGAAACAATAACGGGGCCCCGACTCACCTTGGCGTGGTTCCTCTCGTCTCACGACTCTTTCTTTTGGTGCTAGGGCTTCTCTCCTCCGTCTTGTTTGTTCTTCTAAGGTTCCCGGGAATCCACCTTCTCCACCAGGAGGGATCCCCGGGGGCTAGTCAGACCTCTGCTCTCCCTGGTTTTCAGTTTCCTTCTCCTTGCAGCTTCTGGATGCTCGTGCGACAGCCGTGCGCGCCCGTTGGGAATCGTCCGCCGCAGGCCCAGGCCCCAGCGCGGTGTCGCTGCTGGACGGGGCCAGCTCTCCCCAGGCACCGCCAGCGTTCCTGCTGCTTGACTGTTGAAGTGAATTCTGTAACCGCACACAGAGCATAGCGTCTCACACGCGCTGAGTTGAGCAGCGGTATCCCATCGGGGAGACGGGCCAAGGGAGGCACAGAGGCGGGGCGTGACTCGAAGTTCACCCAGCGCGGCTGTAAGAGCCGGGACTAGCGCTCCGCTCTGATTCCTAGCCCTGCCTCCCAAGGAGCTGTGTGATGAGCGCATGGTGCCCACACCTGCCCTCCAGGATCTCCCCGCCGAGGCGGCTTTCCCCCCGCGCTCCCGGCTGGGAGCAGGAAGGCACGAAGCCCCGGGGCGGCAGCTGGTCTCCCAGCAAGGAGCCGAGCAGAGACCTCCGGCTCTCAGCCCCCCGCACTGCCCCTCTTCAGTGGGTGGAAGCGCTGCTGGTGTGGACAGAAGGAGGGTAGTGTGGCCATCAGCCACCGAAATAATTACTGCGGCGGCTGTTAATCGACCTAACATCGCTTGTAGTGTAGACGTGCCCTGTGACACATAAGGAGTTGCAAGAGACCATTCAGAGGGAAGTGGGCGGATAACCCTTCTGCCGCCACGGGACAAAGGAGAGTTAGTGAGTTACGGGTTGTTGTGATGAGCCAGGAAACCAGTGTCTCCACTGAGTCCATGGCTTCTGGGGCCTGGCAGAGTTATAAAATTCCATCGACCCAGCCATGGCGCTCAGGGGGGTGAAAATCCACCCCCCTGAGCGAAGCAGTTAAGCCGACCTAAGTCCCCGTCCGGACAGCACTAGGTTGACAGAAGAGTTCTTCTGTTGCCCTGGCTCCCTCCTCTCGGGGAGGTGGATGACCTAGGCTGCTGGGAGACCCCCCGTTCCCCTCACAACCCCGTTGGCGTAGGGAGCGTCTCCACTCAGCACCGCAGCTGGGCCGCTGTCGCGTTTGAAGTGTGGACGAGGCCTGAGCTCCCCAGCTGGTCTTTAGAAGGTGCTGCGCGGGTTTCCTTTGAGGAGGAGGATGGAGAGGTTGGAGAGAGGGTGTGAAAAGTTAGTCGCCCTCCTTCAGGTAAAACCAGTGTACGTGTTTCTTGAGGGTCAGGGGCTTCTGCACCCCACCCCCTTCCTGCCTCCCTGAAGGTTTTGCCCCACTTCCTCCCTCCGGGGACGGCTCCATCTCGTAGCCCCAGCTTTCTCGACCCAGCTCTTTGGCGCTGGCCCTTGATGCTCACCAGCATCATCTGAAGCCCCTGTGCTGAGGGTCGAACGTGGCAGTCTCTAAAAACAGCCCCACAGCTCCCCCCTGGGCTGGCCCCCGTCACCTCTGCACTCTAGAGCAGCTGGACGGGCTTGTTTCAGGCGGGAAGCCCAAGGGGAGGTTGGCAGCTGCAGTCGGAGGGGAAGTGGCTTTCCAGCCCTGTGTTCGG